AATTAGTTAAAGTTTATGTAAGCATATGAATTAGTGAAAGGTTATATAAACTGTAATTGCACTTGTGACTAGCAAGAGTTATCAAATCAAAACTTGAATTTTTTGCCTGTTTTGAGCTTGAAAAGTGGTTGCCTGTTGCTTAACTTGAATCCTTCAGTGTGATCGACGGTGATAGACTTTTTTTTCTTTACTTAGCATGCCTAAAACGTCATTTGTCTTTTTTTAGCTTGCTTAATGTTTCATTTTTGGTCTCCCAGAAGGTTATGCACAAATACTGACACAATTCAATAAAATGCACCATTTTTTCCCGTAACACGCCAATTTTGCGATATAATTCTGGTGAATGGCACATCTTTACAAGACATTTTTTTAAAGAAGAAAACTATGCATCAACAAAAATTATCTTTTGCCAACTCTTTACTTGTTTTTTGTTTCAATGAGCGGTACAAACAAAATTAAATCAGTTTTCATTAAATCTGTACTATGATGTTTTGATTATATGATGTCCTTTGTTCTATAAGTTACAATCTATTTAATGAAAGTCGTGTTTTTGTCCATCTTTTGTTTCTTTTTTCACTGTTCTTGTTCTCTCATCGCTTCATGGGCGAAGCTTTAGCCATACACGCAGCGTAGCACAGGGCCCGTGCTCGAGGAAGAGGAAGCCCTTTACACCCTTTACAGCACTGCATGTAATAAGCATGATTGTAGGCTTCGGCAGTTCCGATTGATATTAGAAGAATCAGACCCAGGAAGAGGAGCAAGCACATTGATTTTTTTGAAAATGCTGTCATGCTAAAAATATATTATAAGATGAATAGTTTAAAAAATCCGAAGTCGAAATATATTTTTAGTTATTTATATTATAGTTTTGAAGGGATTTCCAGATGGCGAGATAGCTATGGCACAAGTTAGTAGACTTTCATTTTTCTACATCGATAATTCAAAACAAGGTTTTAAGTTAAACGACGAATGCCACTGATAGATTGGAAAATGTTTGCTTTATAAATGGAATTTATTGAGAAAACTTGCCTGAGATAGTTTGTGAAATCTCGAAACAGATTAAATTTAGAAACGAGCCTGTTTTTAGACGAGGTGAAAGTCTTTCGTTGAAGTGAATTGTGATTTGATCTAAGAAGAACGATACTTACTTTAACATTTTAGCTTCGACATTGTTGAAACTATTACAGGAAACATTCATTTGGTTGGGGTCAAACGGCGTTGTTTTAAAAATAGAAATAGAAGCAGTCTTGTACCTGCAGTACAGTATATGTTGATCTATCTCATTTGGTTCTTATCTTTTAGCGCGTATTTCCGTCGTGAAATTGTTTGTTGGTTCTCAAGGCAATTTATGAATTCAAAGATAAGGATAATGAGGGAATACAAACTGCGTAAGAATATCGACATTCTGTTGAAACGAAAAAATAGCTTCAAAAATGAGCATGCGAAGTTTGTTGTAAATAGAAGTCGAGATAGTTTCTTAGAGAAACACAAACTTGAAATATTGAATTATTCGAACATTGTTCTTTTAACCATTGAAAATGAGGAAAATGTTTTAGTTTTTCAATAAAGTCGATGAACGTAGTGAAGTCTCGTATATTGGTTGTGATGCTATCATTTTTTTTTCAGTAAGTCTTTAATTTTTTTTGCTTTGTACCATTGATATCTTTCCAGTTCAGTCTTTTTTAGAATGAAGGAAAACTCCATTATCGAACAGCAAAATATTAAAGACTCCGAAAAAGTGGCCGATTTCTATTTTCAAAATAAGATTTTAAATTTCGGCTTTTCTAGCAGATTAAAAAAAACATACTGATGCAGTTTTCTCGAATTGATTTTATTTTATCAAAAAAAGTGTTTGAAAGTTTTCAAAATTTTTTTTGAAGGTTTTCAAGGAGCTTCATTTCCATATGTTTCTTTCTTTTTCACTTGCGAAGCAAAGTGTATTAGTATGAACTTCCTTTTTTTCCAACCTTAGTCGCAAAAAAATGCTACTTTTGGTGGCAGTTTTGAATCGGTAGGTGCTTTAACTTTTGATTAGTACAAAATTAACACAGTTGATGCATTTGCAATTCATCAAATGAACCGAAACAAATGAGTCATCAGTACAATGATAAATAGCTCGATTTCAGAAGTTTCAAACTCAATTATCTCGCAATTTTTTTGTATAGTTTATACATAATTTGGTTTTATGCTTTCTAATTTATTACATGCCAATTTGTGTCTTTTTGTTTTTGATGCTATTTTTGCTGAATGGTATTGGCAATTTATTGCCATATGTAGCTGCGATATTTGTCACTATTTTTTGGGGATTTTAGCATCCGTGGCTGAGTGGTTAGTGCGTGATGTAATAAGACTCAAATTGCTAGGTTTTTGCTAATTCGAGGCTGTTCTCTACTTTGTTTATTATACTTGACAGAGCTGCTTTTTGGCTGTGTTGTCGCAAGTGTTTGCGAAGCACAGCTTCGCCTCTGTGTTGAAAGTCAAAAATTGATTGTTCTCAAAAAATTTATTTTTTATTTCTTGCGTTCATCGACTCTTTTCCAACTGTCTGTCAGCTATAATTAACGGTAATGAACGTAGTGAGTAATCTTTTATTTTTCTTGTAATTTTTTTCTGTTTTTTCAGGAAAAAGTCTTAAAATTTGTTCTCGCTCAAGTTCAATTTTCCGTGGTTTGACTTTTGATTTCTTTTTAAGTTCAGTTCATTCCCATTGTTACAAGGAAGGCAAACCGCTCTCGAACAATAAAATTGAAAAGATCGGGAAAACCGTAATCGACTTCTAATTTCGAAAATGTAATTCAATTATCAGATTTAACAAAATAAAAATTATACCTATTGATCCAGTTTTCTCGAATTGGGTTAATTTTAAATTCAAATATCAGATTTCCCAGCGAAATGAAAATTTTACCTATTGATCCAGTTTTCGCGAATTTGGTTAATTTTATCAAAAAAAGCACCAGTCATAAATTGATCGTGAAACTCAAAGAGCTTTAAGGCGATCTATTTTTTCTTGTAATTTCGAATATTGAAGTTTTTCAAAAAAAAACAATTTCTTTTTTTCTGTTTCTTTGCGTGCCTTTCTCTTTTCCTACTGTCAGTTGGCTATGTTTTAAGATTTCTTCTCAAAATTAAGTACAACAAATAATCATGCGAATGGGTTTAAAATGCTGTCACTAGCAATTTGTTAATGATTTATCTGTCTTTGTTAAAAGGAGGGCAAACTACTCTATCGAACAGCAAAAGTGTTAGGTCACGAAAAACATGGTCGACTTCTAATTTCTAAAAAGGATTTTAATTATAAGATTTTTCAGCGATATTAAAGTTTACCTATCAATCCGTTTTTCTCAAATTAGGTTAGTTTATCAAGAAGTGTCAATCTTAAGTTGTTCTAGAAATTCAAAGAGCCTTAGGGCCATCTATGTTTTTTTCTAAATGCGAAAGTTGAGTTTTTTTTTAAAAAAGATAGTTTTTTGTTTGCTTGCGTTCATTGACTCTTTTCCAACTGTCTGTGTTTGCAAAATAGAAATGTGCAGAAATCAAAATTTTTCAAAATATGTTTTTAAAGATTTGAAATTGTGTTTCAATGATAGTAAAGATGGTAGGTGTGAGTTAGATAATTTGAATTCAAGCAAATGTTTCCCTATCGGGCGTGATTAGAATTAAGTTTTGTCCGGCAGAAGTATATTCGCTTGTAAAGTTCGACAAGATTGTGTTTATCATTGTTCAATACAATCAATTGAGCTGAAAATTTTAATGCTGTCCTCCCGAAATTTGTTGTGTAGGTCAGTCCAGTGACACTAAATGTTTTGAGAACGTCTGGCGGTTATCGGAGCAAAACCCCAAGCGCACCCATCGCCAGCTCGCTAGGAGATACATTTATATCAATCATATTTTTGCATCTAATATGTTACAAAAATAGCATAGTGGAGGCAGTTAGCATATCGATAGGCACAAAATTAGAGGCACTTAGCAAACTTCTAAGGCGTTCACTTTGAGATCGTCTAATCGATCACCTAACATGGTAATAACAGTGTGATAACCTCTAGCGTCAGATCCACCACAGCCTGCCCAATTTAGGCTGCAATAGTGGTACCACATGTAGTTCTAGACGCAAAAACGAACTTGAGTCGCAAAAAAGAGCTTCGCTCAGCAAAAGAGCTCAGTCTGGAATGTCAACGGACTATGCTCAGACAGGCCTGATAGCTGTTCAGAGATCCTCTGCGAATCGCAGACACTTTCATTTCTATACTAATAGCCACGATTTGGGAGATTATGTGGTTGGCCAGCAAGCCGAAAATCGATTTTGGTTTGCAACAACAACAGATTGTCATTGTTGTTATGCAATTTTTACGCCATTTCTGATGTAAATTACCCTTTTCTAATTTAATTTTGGCGCTTTTTTCAACGTCTTTTTAAGTGTCTTTTTTAGTCTTCTTGGTAATTTCTTAGTTTAGGAAAAGTTTTAAAGTGTGTTCAGGCTGAAATTTACTTTTTCTCGGTGTGACTTGATATTTTTGAGGTCAGTTCATTGCTTTGTTGTTATGAGGAAGTCAAAATCCACTTTCGAATAGTAAACGTGTAAATTTGATCGATTTATTTTTTCGAAAAGAGAAATTTCATTTCAGATTCCCCAGTGAAATAAAAAAATATATACCTATTGATCCAATTTTCTGAAATTGGTATAATTTTATCAAAAAGTTGTCGATCATAAACTGCTCTAGAAATTCTTAGAGCCTTGGGGCCTTCTCTTTTTTCTTCGAAATCAGAAAGTAGATCAAGTAAGTAGAATTTTCGACCAATCCGAACGCAACAGAGTTCGAATTCGCTATAGAACGCTCTAGTGCTAATTCATTGTTTTTACTTGGATTTTTTCCTTTCTTTCTACAACTTTTTCCAACTAGCAAAAAGTAGTAGTCTGTATTTACGAGATATGCTGTTCTGTTTTCAAGCTGCAATTGTTAATTCAGTATAGTAACCAACATTCATTTTAAGTAATTATCAAATCAATCACCATCTTTATCCCAACCAACTTTAACATCATGCTCTTCTAAATAGTTGTCTAGCCATCTTTCGAGTGGGGCGTAATATTGTAGAGCCAGTTTGGAATTGACATGATCACCGGTTAGTTCACTCAATTGTTGCTTCCAGTGAACTGACTGTCCTTTTTTGAGCATGTCTCGGAAAGCTAAACATAACAGATGGAACCACGATTTTTTTCCAAGTCTGGTTACGGCTCTTTTGTTTCGATAACAGCTAAGCAGGTTCAATCAAACAATTTTCTCGCCATAATCTATATTTGCGAAATTTTTGATATTTGACGATCCTAACGATGAAGGTATAATAAAAGAAAGTAAAACGTCTTTTTATTGTTCCGACCATTAAAAATGGGGAAGAACTTATTCGGGTGTGTTTTAGTTCTTTTTTTCACCTTTTTTCACTCCAAATCAGATATCACAAATAAGCATTAGACTGGGTTGAGTGATATATCATATAAAAAAAACTTTCAGTCGTGATTCATCATTCCAGCGACATTTAAAATATTCCAAAAAGTTCCCAGTGTCGAGAAAAACCGATTTGAAATTTTTGATTTTTCGTCTATTTTGCGATCGAGTAACGTTCATTATAACTGAAACTTAGCAACTTAGACTAAAAAAAAAACTTGACTTTACTTAAAAAAATTAATTTTGGAAGCTTTATTCGGCGCTTCTCTGGAAAAAAAACCGTCAAATATATTTGAATTTTTTAGTGCAAATAATTGAAAAAAAAAAACTTATTTGAAATGTTATGAAGAAATTTTTCATGTTTTTTGGCTTTTTGAAGACAATTGGAGTCATTTTTGACTAATTTGCTAAAATTTTGCACATTCATATAGTACAAAAAAGACACTAATTTGAAGAAAACAAAAAAAATCTGAGAATGTAGTCGGAACATTCTGCGCGCGCTGCTGGCACAGCAACCGGCTATTGTTAGAGATTGAAATCTTTTATTTTTTTTTGAGAAGTCAGTCAGGTACAAACAAATTGTACAAATGCTAACAATTTGCTCTTAGTAAAGTGACGGAAGGGTGAAAATATAGAGGTGGAAATATAAACAGTGAAATTACTTGTGTTAAAAAATGGGAATTACGAAAAATTTTGAAGTCAGTCAGATTTATAATTTTGGCGTCTACAATTTCAAAAGTTTTTGATAAGCTACAAATTCCTTTAAATAAATTGGGGTGGAAAATTGCAACCTAGCAAAACTAAGCCAGTCACCCTTTGTTGATTCTGGTTTTCCATCTATGTTGCACTTCTTCATGTCTCTTCCTGTCTGGTCCACATGTCTGCAGATAGAGTCCAGGAACTGGAACTGATGCACTCTCGCTATTTGGTACCTGGAACAAAGATAATTATACAAGTAGAGAATTTGGAGTCTTGATCCAATTGAAATGTTAGCCCTCTTCAGTTTTTAAATCTGCCTCGTGTTTGTTTCGAGTTTTCACTTAAAAAAAAACGATAAATTTTCATAAAAGAACCTTTTTTGATTATGATAATCGAGAAAATAGGGTTAATTTATAGATGTGGGTGAAAGTTGTGAAATAATGTTAATTGATGAGTTTCTGGGCTCATTTGAATCACGCTTTTGAAGTTTATTTTCTAAGCGAAGCTCAAATTACGCTGTTCATAAAAAAACCAAATATGGTTTAAAAAATTGAGCTTCACGTAAGTTTCAGAGTGGATGTGATTTTTACTTGAGGATTCCCAGCGAATAAAAACAAAACTTTTGATCCAGTTTTTGTCATTTTGCGTTAAATGTATTGAGAAAGTGCCAATGATTAAAATTTGAAATTGAAGTAGCTTGTACTGTGACAATTGAAAAACAGGAGATGCAATATTCGTCTCGATCGTTATTTTGAGTAAATTTTGAGTTCGTTTACGCTTTTCCAACTGTCTCTTTTTAACAGTTCTTTTTTCCTATTTTATTTTTGTATTTTTCTAAGCGGATTTGTTCTGTTTCAAAAACACGCTGGGCAATTTTTCAAAATCACCAATTGATAATTGAATATATTTATTTATAACTGTTGAATTAACTGTACCTTGTGTAGAGGTATCTGAGGTGTGCCACGTGGTATTTGGCCCCTATGTCGAAGTACTCCTCGCCTCTAGTCTCGAAATCTGGAGTTGTGAGACCTAGAAATATATTCATAAAATACTTTTCTTTATCATTCATCATTTTTGGAGAGCTGCTGTTCATAGAAACTCAAAAAATTTCTAACGCTTTTTTTACACAAAATTATATACAACTAATGACTTGTACTGACTTGCACTAATGAAGTTGAAATTTGGAAAAGTTTTGCGGAAAAAGACATTTTTTTAAATGAAAATACATCTATTTCTGACCTTGGTACTCGTGAACTAAATCCCACCAATGTTTGTTCAGCTCTTCGTGCTTTATTTCATCTCTGTAGAAATCGAAGGTCCACTTATCGATTATGAAAGAAAATAGTACAAGTGGGATTTTGTCCAGGGCTGAGAGCATCAATTGGTTGATCATCATTTTCTCTCTGTAGTCGGACCAGGCTGTTTTTGAAATGTTTTATTTTCATTTGTTTTTAAAAATAAAGCGACAGTTAGAATCTACATTTTAGTTTTGCCGACTTTTGTTTAAATTTGCCTGGAAAATTTTGGAGTCAGTTCTCGTTAGAAATTGTAAAAATAACATTTTTGTGTAAGTAAAAAACAAGCTTCTTTGTATGAAGTAGTTTTCTATTCGGTTTAGAGCCTAGATTCTTGGGTTTGAAAACAAAAAATGGCTTAGTATTATAGATGAATATTGCTTTCGTTTAAACAGCTTCATGGTCAATAAAATGGGTTTTGAAAATATTAAGGTTATCTAAATAAGAAAATGGGTTTAAGAACAGCCCTGTCTTCTTCTGATTTGGGAGTGTCCAGCAGTCCAATGTTGATCAGATGGTCTAGTCCAGTTGTAGCCAGAAGAGCAATAGTGTCACCCACTGCTTCGTGGAACGCTGGACTCGCACCTGAAGACAAATGCTTGAAGTTAATTTTTTAGTCTATTCGGATAGTGTTTTTTCATTCAATGATTGCAAATGGTGTTGAGATAGAAGAATTTTTTGCTGCTTCTGCGGCAATTCTGTTACCCTCTGATTGTTTCTTCAGAGTTTTCTTCAATCGTTAAATAAGTAAGTGGTATTTAGTAAATAACTGAAAAAGTATCACGAAACAATTAAACCTGGTAAAATGGGTTGAATTAGTTGGCGTACTGTAGATAGTAGGGTCGAATGGCCCCTGAAGTCAAGTGCTTGAAGCTCTTTTTTGTTCTGTTTGGGTGGTGTTTTTTATGCATATGAATGATATCAATTAATGTTAGAAGAGTAGCATACTGCTTACACGACAACCCTGCTGCTCGTTTTTTTTTTGAATTATTTTGTGACTTTTAATTAACTACGTAATAGAACTAATTATTATTATTACTAACTACTACTAACTGATAGAACTAACTATTATTACTACTAACTATTACTAACAATGAGAAATAATTTTTTTCTTTCTTTTTTAACTGATAGACCATGCTGCTATGTTTTTGTGATGCCTTATTTTGTGATTAATATTTAAACTACGTGATAGAACTAACTATTATTATTACTAACTATTTCTAACTGATAGAACTAGGCTCTTTTTCCTTCCCCCCCACCTGCAAATTTTTATATTTGAAGTTACCGTTCACTTTGTCCGATTGTCATGAAAATTGACATGCAGACTGATTAGGCCATAACAAACATATTTGGTCTTCATAATTAACCTTTTAAAACCACTCGTTAGACGATAAAATTCATGTTTGAGTGAGGTGGGGGGGGGGGGGGGGGGGGAGGAAAAAGAGCCTAGAACTACTAGAAGTGTTGACTAACCCTGGTAGAATATGTTAGTTTGGTTGGCGTACTGCATATAGTAGTGGATGTGGCCCATTTCGTGGTGAATGGTGAAGAGACTGTCGCTGTCCACTTTCCCACACATCTCTACCCTCACGTCACTCCTCGGAACATGCAGTGCGTGCGCTGTCCCGTGGCAGTCCGGCTACAAATAATTGAAAAGAAATAGCGGGTCTTATGCATTAAACGGCCCAAAATTAGGAAAATAGCCAGAAATTTTATTTCAAATTGAAAACACGTAATCAACATACAATTACTTCAGTTATTACATATTATACGAGCCAATCAGGATTAATCTCAGTATCAATCGAAATGGCTGACCTAGTTGCTCGAATTTGATTGGCTAATATTAGCCAATCAGGATCAGTTTCAGTTTTAGTTTTCATTTTGCTTCAATTTTGATTTTTGGGCCGTTTAACGCATAAGACCCGAAATAGCTGGAGATTTTCTAGTATCCCCGACTGTTTTTATAACAGAACTAATGAAAAAATGGTAGATTTTTGTGGGCTGAAAACAATTGAAAAGAATTAGTAGGAGATTTTCTGGTAATCCTAGACTATTTTTATAACAACTAATGAAAAAATGGTCGATTTTTGTGGGCTGAAAACAATTGAAAAGAATTAATTTGATTTTTTTCTGGTATCCCCGACTATTTATATAACCGAACTAATAAAAAAATGGTCGATTTTTGTGGGCTGAAAACAATTGAAAAGAAATAATTGCAAATTTTTTAGTATTTAAGTCGGAAACTTGCTTTTTGAATCTCGCTTCTCAAATTTGAACAGATACTGAATTGAGGTTTTTGAGTGAAAAACTTGTGTAAAACGTTTTTCAACCAACCCTGGTTTCCAACTACCGTACACCCTTGTAAATCGAAATAATGAGAAAAATTGTAGATTGCTGTAAATTGACTGCTTAGAAATTATCTGATATTAAGTTTATCAACATTTAGTCAATATCAAATTAAGACTTATCTACGAGGGAAATTAACGAATATTTCTGAATTGCAAAAATTTCAACTCGATTTTTTTTTCACTGAGAAAGTGTGTTGTTGTAAGAAGAGGAAAACATTTCAAGCCCAAAATTTTTAAATTTATCTTCAAATTTTTCAATACCTTTCTGTTAACAGCATCGCTTTCGACGAAAATCGACTTCTCAAAGAACGATTTGGGCAATTCCGGGAATCCAATAGACTGATAGTACTTATCAGCTAAACGAACCATCTTTGTAAAATTAGTCCCAAACTTTTCCTTCAATTTGGGGTTAAGGTCAACTCGGAAACCAGGATAAGGTTGAACATCGTCCATTAAGTGGTCCCAGTTTTGACCCCAGAGGTTCCGAATCAAATGCGACGGTATCTTGTCGTGGCCTAAAAAAGGGTGTGCGCTTTTGCAAATTTAAAAATACTTTTCAAATTAGGTGCAGTTGAAGTATATTGAGATATATATCCATAAGACCATAAGAAAAACCATTGTCAAATAGTCGTACTTTCATACCATTTGATTGATTATATCCGCATCCGTATTTAATTGCATGTAGAATATATCGTTTTTCCAGAAACCCTCCAAAAGCTTTGAAATATCGTTTGCATTATGAGTCACGTGCGAATGTACCTGTAGGTCTCATGGTGCTGTCCCAAGCTGTAAAATTATCGGCGTGATTTGTACATTTTTTAATCAGCTACCCTTAATGGAACTCCCCGAAAACAATTTATTATTATTATTATTGGTTTGCAATTTTTTTTTGTTTTGAGATGAAAACTCATTAAACGCTTCAAAAATGTCACACAGGTACCTTCCATATAAGGATATTTTTTTGTCAGTTTGTGTCTGACATAGGCGTGAAGTTTCTCGTAGAACGGTTTGAAGTCGTGAACTATTTTGGTGATTATTTGTTCATACTCCGGAAGTTCCACTTCGAAAGTTTCGGTCCATGAATAAGGTGCGTTTTTGTATCCGCTCTGAAAAGGGACCAATTAAATTTTAGATCTCTTAGAAAGAGTTCTGAGAGATTTTGTTCGAATAAATATAGATAATTTTTTAAACAAGGGGAAGAAATTCCAATAGAGGGTATCGAAATTTTCGTTGATGGTATTTTTTAAATGCTTTGAATTTATTCTTATTTTTTGAAGGCTTCGAAAACAAAAAAAATAAGAAAACTTTTCCTAAGTCATAATTTTAAGTGAGTTTCAAGATAATTGATCCCTTTTTAGCCCATTTGTTAGAAAGCTCTTTATATTCGATGTACTTATCGCGAATTTTGGGAGCTTGCTCATTTCTAAATAAATACCAAGCTGCTTTCCATAGCTCTTCATCGTCGCCTTTGTTATTAAGTTGAAACAAATCAGGCTCTTGGCGTAAGTTTTTGTACTCTTTTCCGTTAACTGTCATATTGCTGATGGAGAAATCGTAAATGTTGATCATTTCGCTACTTAGATTGCTCATCCGTTCATTGTCAAAGTTGTCGGCAACTACAATTTGCTTAGCAGTTGCAAGAGTTACTTTTCGTTTGTTGATTGCGTTTAGATGAGACAAGCATCGAATTCGTACAAGTGCCATTTTTTGACCTAGGAATCCTATTTTGAAGTTGGTGTAATTGTTGTATTTGTCCAGTTCTTCCGAAGGTTCGGAAGGCTCCCAACCTTAAACAAGTATGAACAAATAATTTTAAGTTTGCATAATATAATATGCATATATTTTTTAAGGAGAGTAGCAGGCGAAAACAAATACTCGTGATTTTATATAGAAAATTTGTTTTGCTATATCTGAAAATTATTTGACTACTGTATTCAAAACATCACTTGGCTATAGGTTTTTTATATATCAATTTAATAATAAAAAAAATTTTGGTCTCGATTGGTCAAAAAACGTCTTTTGAGCAGAATCAAAATTGCCCAAAACAAAAATTTAGCTGAAAATGCTTTTATCTAAGATGTCATGCCCGCACCCCTCTGTCTCTCTTATGGTTTTTGAGGTTAATTTCATTATGAGGTCAATTGACCACCCTGCCTTCATGTGCGCTGCGTGAAGTAAACCCGTCAATGCATGATTCATACAACTCGATAAAATCATTGATAGTATCCACATCACAAGAGTAATCAGGCGCCTCGGTTGTTCCATTTGTTTTGTTTTCAGGAGAACCGAGAGAAGAGATCAGTTTTTGGTCGAGTTCATCCCAGTCAATAGACTCAACTTCCTCCTGAAAAATAGTAATTGAATCTATTTCAGTATTTATGACATTGAAATTTTTTCCAGTAAAAATTGAATTGTTGGACTTCGGTTTGTCTGTTTAATTTCGTCGGCTGAGTTGTCACATCACGGATTTTTGCATTAAGCAGTTTTGTAATATAGTTGAAAGTGTTGTTCGTTGTAGTTTCAGGGGGGACTCAAAAATTTTTACGAAATCATTTTTTTTCGATGCAACTGATGTCTGTTCAAAAATTGTTTTCTTCTGTTGCTAACTGAGCTGTAAATTTTCTCGCTCAAAATCTTTACGTTTTACTTAAGATTGTAAACGATCGCTGTTTAATTTTTGATTGCCGAACTTAATATGTTGAAATTTGTTCAAATTTTCGGCACTGTTGAACAAAGTTTTCATTTTCGGCACTGTTGTACTTCGCCACTGTTGACTGCCCCTTTTCAACTGTCTGTTTGCTATGTTTTTTTTTTCAAAACAAAATCAGTGTTATTTAAGGTCGATTTGTCGCAAAAGTTTGCACGGGGTGGAGAAAAGTTTGATGATCGCTTTGTGTCCTAAATTGTATGGAATGTTTGTTTCGAAAAGTTTTTTACTCACGTTGGTTCTACACGTTGCTGGTGGGTAGCTCAAAACTTCTTCAATTAACAAAAGCAAAAATATGCATAATGTTTTTAAAAGCATTTTAAGCGTGGAACTTTTTCATTTACTGAATTTTTTTTTATTGGTGAATTTGAAAGTGTGTCGATTGTTTAGGAAAGCAGAGGCTGCCATATGTTGTTTGTTTTACATTTTTGAAATCTTAGATAAGTATTTGTTTCCCGTAAATAGAGTTAGAATTGTTTTTATGACATCTGCATTGATAAATTAGCAGCAGAAGGGCTTTATTTTTTATCGATTTTAAAACTATATGTAATCAATAAATTCGTTTTCAATCAAATGTTTTAGTTATTTTTATTTATCCAGTATTTGCCACTTGCAAAGGTTAGAGCATATATTGAACAGAAATCGGTTGGCCTTTTGTGAAGGCTTCAAGTTTTTTAATAGGTTACGAAGTCAATGTTAGGGCGACGAATAATTAAAATCTCAAATTCGGTGTTATCTGAAGAACAATATGGCAAACAGAATCCACCGTCATACGTTCCGATGCATTTTTTCCGAAACTTTTTTAAACGCTCAACATCGCAAAATGCCTTGATTCACCCGAAGAGGAGGCAGTAGTCTTTTGGAATACTAGAGCAAAGTAGCGGACGTGAGCTATTATCTAATGGGTGATTTACCAATAAAGCGTCGGCAAAACATCCAGTAACAGAATTTTAGATTTTTCTTAGTAGCTCTTTTATGTTTCAGATAGCCGGAGTTGACCCAGACCCTGGATCAGATGACCCAGACCAGCCCTGTGTTATATGTCTGGAAGCGAGACGAGAGACCTTCTTCGTACCATGTGGTCACGTGTGTGCTTGTACCAATTGTGCTAATCTATTGACTGGTGCCTCATCTAACGGAAGACGATGTCCGATATGCAGACAGAGTTTCACGCAGATTAATTATTTGAGATATCCCTGATGTGTGAATGACTGGAAACTAGATATGTAGATATGATATTTTTAAACGGGAAAATTGGAATTAGTAGAATATGTTCTTTTCAAGGTCTGATTGCACTACAGTGGTTTTATCTTTGAGAAAAATAGTTAAAGAACTTGTTAACTCAATTTTCTGCTTGCAGACATTTATTCAACCAGTTCAGTTGAGAAATTCATGAATGTTGACTTCTTTTGTATCCTGGGTTCAATACGTTTCCGGCAATTAGCTTGCCAGCATGACTGATTTTGTGAAATATGATTTTAAATTGAACTCACGGCTGCATTTGCTAAGTTTTGAGCAAAACGATCGTTTTCAACTATTTCGCACCTTGTAGGTTTTTCGCGTATTGTTATCGCGATTAAGTTTTCGGTATTTTATCCACAATTTTTTGATGCCTATTATGTGTCAATTGACGTAGTGAAGAAGTTTATAGAGGTTTTGATTTTTTTCAGCAAAATTTAAAATTTGTTCAGGTTCAAGGTTGATTTTGCGCGTTTTGATTTTTACCGATTTTTATCAAGTTCAGTTCATTTTCTTTGTTAAAAAGAAGACAAATCCCACTATCGAACTGTAAAAAAATAAATAGCACGAAAACTTGATCAACTTCTAGTTTCGAAAGTGGATATTTTAATTTTCAGATTTTCCCGCGCAATGAAAAATTTTTTCCATTGATCCAGTTTTCTCTATTTTGGATAATTCTATCGAAAAATAGCAATCATAAATTGTTCTTGAAGTTCAAATTTATTTAAGGCTATCTATTTTTTTCAAGTCTATTTTTCTCTTTGCATTCATTGGCTCTTTTCCAACTGTCTGTTGGCTATGTTTTTTGCTTAAAGAATTCAGAGCTAATTTGCTTTTTTGCGTTACAATTTTTGATTTTTTAATATCAATGCAAATTCTTTTGTATAAGGACGCTGTCCGATTGCCAAATAGGAAAAAAGCTCGAAAATTTAAGAACGACCTCTAGTTTCGAAAGTGGGTTTTAGTTTCAAGATTTGTCAGTGCAATCTAAATTTAATCAATTGATCCAGTTTTATAAAGTTGGGATTATCGAAAAAGAATAACCCATTAATTGTTCTTCAAAATCAAAGAGGTGTAAGACCCGCTTTTTTCGAAATTCGAACGTCGCAATTTTTTTCTTCAAAAAATGAGTTTTTTTGGGTTCCGTGTGTTCATTGGCACGTTTCCAACTGTCTGTTGGCTGTGTTTTTAATAGTCCTGAATCCAATGTATATATTGTTAAGGCAGATATCAGAAAATAACAAATGCTCTTGATTTATCATAGGAATTTTCTTCACGTATATTGGTAAGTTGTTTACTTCTGTTTTTATTAAGTGCCAGTGAATATTCAAAAAATCTTCAAAATTGGTGGTGCCTAAATTAGATTTTTCACTCTTCAACTTTTGATTTTTGCACAAGATATTGTAAATTATAGTTATAGAAAGCAATTTACGTTTTCGAATCAAAAATATTTAAGATTCAGTTATATATGTGATCTCAGTTTTGAGACTTCATAGCGGAACATAAATATATTTATTGACCCAGTTTTCTTTTAAGAGCTAATGAACGTAGTTTAAACGCTTCTGTATATCTTGATGAGTAGACGCTTCTGTATATTGTTTTTTTTCAGCAAAAGTTGTGAAATTTGTTCAGGCTCATTTACTTTTTCGCGGCTTGACTTATGATTTTTTAAGCACAGTTCATTTCCTTTGTTAAAACGAAGGCAAACTCAACTATCGAAAAGCTAAAGTCAAAGTCCTGAAAAACGCGATCGACTTCAAGTTTCGAAAGTGGAATTCAATTTTCAGATTTCTCAATGAATTTAAAAAAATTACTTTTTGATGCGGTTTTTCTCAATTGTTTCAGTGTCAGTCATAAATTGATCTACATAGTCAACTTGCTTTAATGCCATCTATTTTTACTTAGAGTTTTTTCAATTATGAAGTCAATATTTTTTTCTGTTTACTAGCGTTCATTGACTCTATTCCAACTGTCTTGACTATGTTTCAGCTATAAATATTCTTGAAAATCAAAGAGTTTTTACGGAATGCAGGTTGTTGTTCGAAATAAGAAAGTTGAAAAATGCTCCAAAATATATTCAGTTATTTTTTGCGGTATGCTGGAGTTCCTTGAAGCTTGTCAAAATTGCTATATTCAAAACTATGAATCAGATCAATTAAGCCCCCCCCCCGTTACAAAAAGACGTCAGCAAACGCAAGAAGACAAGAAGATTGTAAATGTGTTCATAGCACGCAATCAATTGACCGACTGAATTTTTTTAAATTTGAATACGAAAAAAAAAATCGAAAAAGAAAAAAATCGAAATTTAAAAAATTTTATCTCAATATCAAAAACTAAAAACTGTTTTCCGCTGCACAGTTTCGATTTATGTGCCTCAGTTTGATTCATTCTTTTTTCACTCAAAATGTAAATTTTGAGCTTTGATATTGTAAATTTTGTTGTTCCATATTTTCAAGTGGTTATAAACATGTCTCAAGTACCTATTGAGCTATATTTCTCTCTCTCCCCCACGCGAGAATGGGGAAGGGAGAGATTGTTCAATTGATTCCTATGAATCAGTTATTTTGATTTGATGTGTGATTCGGTTTGAAAATTTCGTTCAGACTGAGTGCTTTGTGACTTCAGAGCTCAGACTGGGTGTTTCTATAGCTTTGTGAATCCAGAATAGTATTTTTTCCAGGCTATCTGAAACTTGTGATTCCCGCTAAATGGTTCAGTTTTCAACCAAGTTCAAATTTGTCAAATGATTTTTTTTGGG